CAGGTCCCCTTCTTAGACCATCCACAGTGGTCTTCCCATTCACAATAACTGGGCTTGCACCTGCGCACATAACTTTTTTTATGGCAACAGGTTAAATATTGCCTTAGACAGTTTTCTGGTATCCTGTGCAGGTGTTGACTTTTTGATAACTGTTTCACTTTCTGCTTTTTCCAATTATGTTTTTTTCTCCTTAATTACATTAAAAGCACCTTGATGATTAGAGAGGCAGAGGAAGAGATAGCACATAAGCTTGTGGAAAAACATGGGTGTTGAATATGGAACAACCTGTTTTTGTATCATGGCTCCCATCCCTTTCTAATTATGCGGTCTTTAGAAGGGGTACATAATCTCCCTAGGCTCAGTTTCCTCACCTGTCATATGAGAATGATATCTAGGCCAGGTAGGGTTGTTGTGAGGGTTACAATAATATAAATATTATAAATAAATATATATTATATATAATTATATATTATAGTCTGTGTATTTTTTTTTAAAGATTTTATTTATTTATTTGACACACAGAGAGAGCACAAGCACGGGGAGCGGCAGGCAGAGGGAGAGGGAGAAGCAGCCTCACCAAGCAGGGAGCCCGATGTGGGACTCGATCCCAGGACCCTGGGATCATGACCTGAGCCGAAGACAGACACTTAACGACTGAGCCACCCAGACTCCCCTATATCCTATGTATCTTATGTATACCATATTATATATTATTATATATACAATATATATTATTATATTATATATACATATATATACATATAAAATATATCTAAAGTGTATAGGACACTGGAGATGGTCAATAAGCAGGAGTGACACTGTTTTTAAGGAGTTCTGCCTTTTACTTTTTTGAATCCTCCACAGAAACTTTCATAGGGTAGAGGCAGCATTGATAAAAATCTGCTAACGAAAGTGAGTTGAAAAGTTGAAGTTGAAATATATAAACTATATTTAAAAATATAAACCCTTAACTGACAACAGAAACACAGATGAAGTGAATATAGCATAATGTTAGTAAGTATTAAATATAGATGATTGGTGTTTGGATATTGTGCTTTCTACCTTCTTTATTTAAAATTATTGTGTGACATAAGGTCAAATAGTAAAAGCAATATACATATATACAGGGGAAAAAGGCTGATGCATTATTAGTTTTTATTAAGCTTATATAGTACACACGTTTGACATTAGTTTTCAAGTCTTTTATGCCTAAACTATTTAATAATAAATAAAAAAACCAATTAAAACCCATCATCTACTATCACATTTATAAAGCCAAAGATAAAAATGATGCAAATCCATATAAAAATATTGAATAAATATAATAATTCTTACTAAAAATAAGATGAAAATAAATACAGCCTCAGATGTAACTTGTATAAAACGTGATGGTACACAGCAAGGCACACCACCTAATACAGGACCATCATCTGGATTGTTTGCTGGGTTGGCCACCAGGGGCTGCTAAAGAGTAGCATTCCCAGGAACCAGGCAGCGAGAAAAAGATAAAAATCATTCAACTTGACCCTAAGAAGTGCAGAGTCTGAGAGTCAGGCTCCTTACTACACCACCCAGAGGTCTTGCACCACAGATTTCAGTTTGGCCTGTGGTGCCTTGCTGCAGGGGCGGAGCAGCCTGGAACCAACGCAAGCGTGAGGCTGATGTTAGCACCTCAATGTGGCATCTTGGAGTCCCTGGACACTGGGCTCAGGCTGTCACAGCTGACAATCTTCACAGCTGCTCTGCCAGGAGCCGTAAAGCATGGGGCCGGAATGGAAGATTCTTATCTAGGCTTCTAATTCCTTTTTTCTACTGACTTCCCATACACTGAGACTTACTTCCAATACATCCTTAATGTATCAGCACATTCTGGAAAAAAAATATATAGCAGCAGCTGAATAGCTAGACTAGAAAATTATTTCTATCCTAAAGTACATCCCAGGCCAAACTCTTTATGTACATTTATAGTGAAATAAGAGTGGTTTGTACTATGTTTTAGCTTTGTATGTCTCGTCTGTGTCTTATTCATCTCATTTGAGAGTAAAATATTTGAGGGCAGGGCTTTGTCAGATTTCCTCGTACTCAAAAAGAAGGTTTTACTCAATAATGGTTTGAAGTAACTTCACTCATTAATTTACGACATTCAACGTTCACAATAACGTTGTGAAGCATTATTAACCCTATTTGAAATTAAGGAAACAGAGACTCAAGGATGACTGGTCAGAGGGGACTCAGCTAGTGGAGCCAGAGCAAGGGCAAGGATATTATTCCTTTCGGTGATGTGATGAGGCTCAGAGAGGGGCAGTAGCTTGCTCAAGGTCTCATACGGAGATGGAGGCAAAAACGGGGCTCACTCCTTGCTGGTCCCGTGCCATGCTTTGCAGACAGATCTGCTATAGTATAGAAACAATACAGGAGTAGACTTCCAAGGCACATGGTTGAGTCTCCTAACCAGAAAAGAAAAGAGATACTGCCTTTTCATGATGGCTAGGGGGGTCACGCTCTTCAGAGCTGGAATGATCTGCTCTGGATACTCCTACACGGAATAATAATGCACTGGCTTCCCATGAGAGTGACATCGAGCATCTCAGGATCACGAGACCTTGGAATAGAGGGCTTCCCCATCGGAGGTTTCCTGGTCGCTGTACCTCTATTTTTCTAGGTGCTCCCGCCCCGCCTCCCACCTCCTGGTCTAATCTGGTGTGACTGGGCAAACTCTCAAATCAACCATCTTAACCACGTGGGACACATGGCAGCCTCTGTGTAAGCCACTTATGTTCAACTACAGACTTTTTTTTTTTTTTTTTTAACATGCCCATTTTTAGTTCTGGGGTTTATCTGAAGAGAGAGTTGAGATCAGAGAGACAGAAAAGCACACATTGTGTGGGAGGTGAAATGCCATGGTCGTTTGGGAGGCCTGTCTGGAGCTGCTGGTTGTGATTTACTGAAAAGAACATGAAATTCATGTCTGCCATTCGTCTTGCTGAATGTCATGCCGAGTGCAACTTGAGGAGTAGGGAGGTCTGAAGGTGATGCCTACAAATCACCTGCTAGACCTTTTTGGTCTCTGATTTAAGAGCCATGTGTATACAGCAGAGAAATAAAACTCTTGGTCTGTGGGCCAAAAAGAAATATTCCGGGGGCACAGAACCACATAACTATGGGGAACCAACCCTTAATTTTTGCCCAGGAACTCCCTTCTCTGCCATAATGCCATAAATGGGGTCCAAAAGTTCCAACTTGGGAACACAGCACATATTACCAATATGTTATATCAATGTCTGTGGATATGCCTAGCCATAGAAACTTTTATCAAGGATTGGTTACGTGATGAGCACTGGGTGATGTACGGAATAGCTGAATCCCTACAGTGTACAGCCGAAACTAATGTAACACTCTGTGTTAACTATAGTGGCATTAAAATTTAAACAAAGGATTTGTTAAGACACTGGATGACGCATGGGAAGAGTAATCCCAGAAGGGCAGAGTAACAACATCAATGTTATCACTGAACTTCAATGTACAACCCTGTTCTCCTCTCTTTATTAAAGACTTGACAGTCAGTAGAAAATACACATCAAGCTAAAGAATAAAAAATCATGCCTCTCTCTAATAAGAAAACTGCTCAACATATACCAAAGCAACTCAGGCCTTGTTGACCCCTCAAAAATGTGTTTGTAATTTTACTTCTTACAGGGGTGGGTGTAGAGTGACTTGAGCTGTCCAAGGTTGATACCCATGGTACTAGACCAGAAAGGAAGGTATACAATTCAAAGTGGTCATTCATTGGGAACACTGTGGTTGGGAAAGAGGCTGAAACTATGGATAAAACTGAAGTCCGTTCTTGTCTTTCACTACACCAACAAACTGGTAACTGGGTCTTTCTGCTGAAAGCTTTAAGCGAAACAGAAAACAACAACAAAGAAAGGCAGCTCAGACTTCTGTACTGGGGGCGGTGGTGGGGGGGGGGGTTGCTGTAGGATGTCATAAAAAGCCAGAGTCCTCCATGCTTTAATGTTCAGGTGATAAACAAAACCAGGGACGTGGTGCTACTTAACATTCTTCTGCTTTTCTTCTTTAAAGTAGCCAGACACTTAGCTAGTTCATTTTCTTATTTGGAGAGCATTTACAAAGTATTTTTATTTCCTCCCATTTATAGTTACCAGAAGGTCCATATATGAAACTCAAAATGCCTTATGGGTTTTTAACATGCTGATTCATAATGTTTAAACCTCGAAGGTAAATGTTCATCTTCTCCCCCAAACATGCCTTGGCTATTTCTTGCTGGAACATAAATGCATTCCATCAGACACCAGGCTCCCATTAACCCCTTCTCCACCGTCGAGAGGTGGGAAAGCTTAGCTACATCATGGCTAATAACAGACTCAGTGTGTAGATGGCTCCAGAGGCCTCTGGATAACTAATTTGCTGAGAAGAAACCAACTTTCTGCATTTTCAGAGAAACCAAAGGAGCAGAGAGGATGCCGTCCACCCCATACTGCTCTGTGAACACTGTGAGTGTGACCTTGACTCCTCGGCCATATTGCCCCCAGACCTGGCACGTTCCATTTCCCATCAACAGCCAAAGCAGAACAGCACTGTGGCCCTGCCTCCCTTTTATCTGAAACGTGCAGAAATTTTGGAATTTGGCCATTTCATCCCTAAAATGCAAACAATCTCATGTTCTATTCTCTTCAAAGATCTCACCTTCAAAACGTTCATTTATATCTTCTTTCATTTTTTACATAATGCTCCCTTTTGAAATCAAGGTTACTAAATCATTCTTCCCAGACTAATTTCTCTCACACATAACGTATAAACTTGGCTCCCAGGACGTTAGATGTTGCTGCTGGAGATTTGTATGACCTTCTGAAAATCAAATCAGTCTCTAACTCTAAACCCAAACTAAGACCCCCGCTCCCGACACACACACAACTATCACCATCACCACCCTCTTTTCCAGCAAAAAGCCCCTCGACATTCACCAAACGTGGCCTCACCTTTCTGGAGAAGTACTGAGTGGACACGGCGAGTGCCTGGAAGCCGCACAGGGCCCTCCGCAGCTCCCCCTGCACGAGGCCCAGCTGCCTGGCCTGCTGCTGGCACCTCTCCTTCAGCCGCTGTACCAGCTGCCGCTCGGCCTCGCGGCCCTGCAGCTCCGGCTTGGGGGAAAACCCATTTCGGGGCACTGCAGTCCTCTGTTTGGGGTATCCTGTAGAGAAAAAAAAGTTGCCCGTGAAAAACCAGTCATCCCAAACGTGACAACAGCTCTTGGGTATAGAAGGATTTCATTCAGAGCAAGTGGCCGAGAAGGTACTGCTCATGGTTGGTCATTTTAGGTACCGATGAGAAAAAACAGACAGGCACTTAAAATGTTTGCTCTGTTTATGTGATTCTCAGTGCAGAGTTTCATGCTTAGGGTAAGAATAAGAGACAAAATCGTCAGCTTCCTTCCAGCTCCCTGCATTTCTTCTAAGTCTGCTTAGACAGATTGATGCAGGTGTTTGTTTTTTGTTTTTTTTTTTCCTTCAAGGGGATTGCTCTGTGAAAATGTCTAATGGGAAATAAATCAATCGATCCAGGTTGAAGTTAGAGTTAGAACCTAGCAACCTTTGAATTGGGCATACGGGAGAAATGCCTACATGTCCCTTCACTCCCTCACTAGGGTTGCTCTACAGACCCTCTCTTTGATGTCAGGATCAAGTCATATCTCTCACAACCTCTGCTCCAGGGATTTCTGGCTTTGAATTCCTAAGGCATCGATGTCCTCCAAAATATTCCCCCCACGTGACCACTCATGCCACCTCCAGGCTAAAGGTCCAGTCCAAGCCACCATAACCTCCACCTTCTAATGGGAAGCCCTGCTTCTTCTCATCTTTCACTGCACAACAGGCAGAATGACCTTTATGAATATAAAACAGCTCTTGACCTTCATGGACCCCTCCCTGCCGTTGTGCTCTATTGCAGGAAAAACAAAGTGCTCATTCCTTCCCATGGCCCACAAGCCCTCTGAGGTCCGGCTCCTGCCGGGCAAACAGTAGGTGTGGTGAGGCCACAGAGGAAGGAACCAGAAACTCCACCTGGGGCTGGCGACAGGGTGGGGGAGGTTTTAAGGAGAATGACTATTAGGTGGAGGCTTGGGGGGTGTGGTTAAAGGCAAGGCCCCCAGGAAGAGCTCAATGCATTGAGTGCATCACAGTCAAAGACCCGAGGGTGAGCCAGAGTCTCCCTCAGAACCTCTGTGCTTCCGGTGTGAGGCTCAGACCCAGCCTGGCACCCACAGAAAACCTTGGTGGTGGATGGTGGATCGCTATTCCCCAAGAACATTCTTTCCTTTGCTCAAGTAGAGAACATGACATAGACACAGAGCACACAATCATAAACAAACTTTAATATTTCAAAAGTTCTTTAGTCTCTCCTGCCCCCTCCAAAATATCAGGGAGTAATACAAACCCGATACACTGAGACACAGCAGGGTGGCAGGCTTACTCTACTGAACACCCAAGTGGCCTCATCTTTTAAGAGGAAAAGATGGTTAACTGATCTAAATACTTCTGATTGTTAAATTAACAGCAACCATGCTAATTTTAATTAAATCTTCCTTTTCTTAAGAAATCAACAGAGATTGCAAAAAGCAACCTCACATATGACATATCTTAAACTATTATGGCTTAATAAAGTAGTAGAATGTGAAATTAATGCTTCTTTAAAATGGTCTTTATGATAGTGGAATACATAATAATCTAGAAAATTCACTTGCACGTCGTAGGCAAATCAATCTTAATATGTGCTCAATCCCAATATTCTCAATACCGATAACAAAAGAAAAATAATTACCAACAAAATGTGAGAGATTTTACTGCTGCCTGCATTAAACTCTAAGACACAGCCTAAGACCCAAGGCAGATCTTTTTCATGATTACTGTTTTCCATTTTATTGGTGTGGCTCGTGATTTTATAAAACACTCTAGTGTTTTAATTAATGTGTTGAGGTACCAGGTACTCTACACCATTATATATATCTTATATATGTATAATAGAAGGCACTTCTTTTAGAAATCTAAAGGAAATAGGGTGCCTGGGTGGCTCAGTTGGTTAAGCGACTGCCTTCAGCTCAGGTCATGATCCTGGAGTCCCAGGATCGAGTCCCACGTCAGGCTCCCTGCTCAGCAGGGAGTCTGCTTCTCCCTCTGACCTTCCCCCTCTCATGTGCTCTCTCTCTCTCTCTCTCTCTCTCTCTCATTCTTGCTCTCTCAAATAAATAAATAAATAAAATCTTTAAAAAAAAAAAGAAATCTAAAGGAAATAATAAAAGATATCTCTAGCTCAGTGAATTGCTAATTGCAATCTACGGCATATAGAATCAGCCCTGAATTTGTGCATATTGTAAGCACTCATGTTGTGTGTTCTTGGCTGTCAGATTTTTACTCTGTTATTATTATTATTACTATTATTTTCATCATTATCATTAGTATTAGGTTAGCAATGATACTCAGTGGTAAATGGACAACATAAAAAAGGGATTTGGTGAAATCCTATTTTTGGTGTTCACTGATACCCACGATATTTTGATATTGCTTTAATTCACACACTCAAAATCCAGTGTTCTACTGAACACCACTATACAAAGTCCACATTCTACTCAGAGGGCCACCAAACTGATGTTCTGAGCTAAGACAGAGGTTCCCCTGAGAACATCAGCCTTTGGTATCAACACACCAAGTATTAGATTTGCGGCTTTCTGACACTTATGAAACCAATCTTTGTTAGGGACTCCTGGCTAGTTACTCATTTGGCCTCCAACCACGGTCACAACACAGACTAAGACTCAGGCCCCAGCAATAAGGCTTATTGGAAGGAAACCCAGAGACACAGGTTGATTGTGGAGTTGTCTATTGCTTTAGCTGAAAAGGGTCCTGCCATTTTCTCAATAGATCAGCTAGACCTCTGCGTAGGACCAATAATCATTTTACCATCAGCAACATATTTTGGGGCCTCATCAAAACCAGTATTCTTTCTTGTGCTGTCAATGTTTGTGAAGTACTTCTATAGTTAACTCCCTGAAGTACTGTTCTGTCACTTACTTTCCTGTCCACCCACATGTCACACCATTCCCAGGACGGTATGTGAGGACATACATGGGCTCATCTGCCATCTTGGAGACAGAGAGCTTATGTTGAAAGAAAAATGACTGACACACAGCCAGCTTCACCTGTTTCATTAAAAATTAAGGAGAGTTTTGTTTGTTTCTATGGTCTTCTCCTCAAAGCCAGCACATAATGGAGCTAAGATGCCAGTCGGCTTGGGAAGAAAGGCGTTAAGGGAACATGATGGAAAACTTGCAGAGGGCAGTGATCCACACAGAGCTCATGGAGCACGTGGTTGGCTCTGGGATGAGGCTTGCTGACGGTGACTGACTTCTGACCTCCTACACCCATGCTTCTCTGGAAGAGCCAGAGAAATGCTTTAAATGAGGGGCACGCCATGTCACCTGAGGACACTTCCAGGTGCTGGAAGGTTTCGTTACCATCTCCTTCCCTGTTCCTTGTGGTATTTATTTTCTTTTTTTTTTTTATTCTTATGTTAATCCCCATACATTACATCATTAGTTTTAGATGTAGTGTTCCATGATTCATTGTTTGTGCATAACACCCAGTGCTCCATGCAGAACGTGCCCTCCTCAATACCCACCACCAGGCCAACCCATCCTCCCACCCCCCTCCCCCCCAGAACCCTCAGTTTGTTTTACAGAGTTCATCGTCTCTCATGGTTCGTCTACCCCTCCGATTTCCCCTGCTTCACTCTTCCCCTCCTGCTACCTTCTTCTTCTTTTTTCTTAACATATATTGCATTATTTGTTTCAGAGGTACAGATCTGAGATTCAACAGTCTTGCACAATTCACAGCGCTTACCAGAGCACATACCCTCCCCAGTGTCTATCACCCAGTCACCCCATCCCTCCCACCCCACCCCCCACTCCAGCAACCCTCAGTTTGTTTCCTGTGATTGAGAATTCCTCATATCAGTGAGGTCATATGATACATGTCTTTCTCTTTTTTACTTATTTCGCTCAACATAATACCCTCCAGTTCCATCCACATCGTTGCAAATGGCAAGATCTCATTCCTTTTGATGGCTGCATAATATTCCATTGTGTATATATACCATATCTTCTTTATCCATTCATCTGTCAATGGACATCTTGGCTCTTTCCACAGTTTGGCTATTGTGGACATTGCTGCTATAAACATCGGGGTGCATGTACCCTTTCGGATCCCTACTTTTGTATCTTCAGGGTAAATACCCAGTAGTGCAATTGCTGGATCATATGGTAGCTCTATTTTCAACTTTTTGAGGAACCTCCATACTGTTTTCCAGAGTGGCTGCACCAGCTTGCATTCCCACCAACAGTGTAGGAGGATTCCCCTTTCTCCGCATCCCCGCCAACATCTGTCCTTTCCTGACTTGTTAATTTTAGCCATTCTGACTGGTGTGAGGTGGTATCTCATTGAGGTTTTGATTTGGATTTTCCTGATACCGAGTGATATTGAGCACTTTTTCATGTGTCTGTTGGCCATTTGGATGTCTTCTTTGCAGAAATGTCTGTTCATGTCTTCTGCCCATTTCTTGATTGGATTCTTTGTTCTTTGGGTGTTGAGTTTGATGAGTTCTTTATAGATTTTGGATACTAGCCCTTTATCTGATATGTCATTTGCAAATATCTTCTCCCATTCTGTCGGTTGTCTTTTGGTTTTGTTAACTGTTTCCTTTGCTTTGCAAAAGCTTTTTATCTTGATGAAGTCCCAATAGTTCATTTTTGCCCTTACTTCCCTTGCCTTTGGCGGTGTTGCTAGGAAGAAGTTGCTTCGGCTGAGGTCGAAGAGGTTGCTGCCTGTGTTCTCCTTTAGGATTTTGATGGACTCCTGTCTCACATTGAGGACTTTCAACCATTTGGAGTCTATTTTTGTGTGTGGTGTAAGGAAATGGTCCAGTTTCATTCTTCTGCATGTGGCTATCCAATTTTCCCAACACCATTTGTTGAAGAGACTGTCTTTTTTCCATTGGACATTCTTCCCTGCTTTGTTGAAGATGAGTTGACCATAGAGTTGAGGGTCCATTTCTGGGCTCTCTATTCTGTTCCATTGATCTATGTGTCTGTTTTTGTGCCAGTACCATACTGTCTTGATGATGACAGCTTTGTAATAGAGCTGG